CCGCGCCCGATCTTGTCAATCTCGTCGATTAAGATCAAAGGGTTCTCGGTCTTGCACTTCTTCAAGGCCTGGATGACACGGCCAGGCAGAGCACCAACATACGTCCTCCTGTGCCCCTTGATTTCGGCCACGTCGGTCAGACCACCAACGCTGAATCGGTAATATTCACGGTTGAGCGCGCGGGCAATTGATTTTCCAATGCTCGTCTTGCCCACACCAGGAGGGCCGACGAAGCAGAGAATCTTGCCCTCGACGGTTCCACGCAGCTTCCCGACCGCAATGAACTCCAAGATGCGATCCTTGACATCCTTGAGGCCGTAGTGGTCCTCGTCCAAAACAGTCATGGCGTTCCGGATATCGAAGTTCTCGGCGCTCTTCAACCCCCACGGAATCTGCGTGAGCCAGTCAAGGTAGTTTCGGGTTACGTTGAACTCTGAAGCGGCCGGTTCAAGGTGCGCTAGCTTGTTGAGCTCTTCGTCGAATACCTTCCGCACTGCTTCAGGCATCGCCAGCTTGTCCGCCTTCTCTTTGAATTTCTCGACCAGCTTGTCCTTGCCATCCGACTCGATACCGAGCTCCCGTCGAATGCCCTTCATCTGCTCCATCAACCAATACTCACGCTGGCGCTTCGTAATCTTGCTCTCCACGTCCTTGGTAATCTTTGACTGAAGCTGAGCGTTGGCGAGCTCCTTCTTAAGCACCAAGAGCGCCTTGTGCATCCTGTCCTCGACGTTTAGGCTCTCCAAGACTTCTTGCAGCTCGGCAGGCTCTCCCGCGGAGACAGCGGCAGCGAAATCAGCGAGCTTGGCAGGTTCGGACATGACGTTGCCGGCAGACTGGCTGATGGAAAATGTAGAGATCTGATCCCTGAACAAACTGTTCATGCTGGCAACCTCCTTGAAAACGTTTACAATCTCGTTCGTGACGGCACGGACCACTTGGCTTTTGGGGTCGTGAGGTTCCTCGGTGAGGTTGTCGACATTGGCGATGCTGACCGGGTACTTCTTCAGGAAAGAAGTCACTTCATGCAGCTTCTTGGGCGTCTCGGGCTTCTGCTCGACGGCGCTCTCCTCAAAGCTCGCTACCACGTCTCCCTTCTGGTCCGCCTCCTCTGTTGGCTTGGGAGAAGCCTCGGGGATAGGTTCCGCGGCAGGAACGGCCTTCGAAGCATCGGCAGCTCCCGGCGGAATCAACGAAGACAGCCGGATTCTGCGGTGGGGGTACAGAATCGCTGTCAGACCTCCGCCCTCGTCGCCCTGCGAGTTCATGGGGAATGCGCTTGTGACCTGAGCAAAAACGCCGACGTCGTGGACATCGTCGGCGTTGCGGATGACGTCGTCATCGGCGTTCTCGTCCTTGAATAAGAAAGCGCCGACATAGGGTTGTCCCCGCTTGAACATCTCGGTTATCGCCGCAGCGACGTTGGGGTCTTTAATGGTAATAGCTTTGTAGAACCCCGGGAACAGCGGCCTCTTGGCAATGGGTATCGCTAGAACCTGAGGATAGATCTCTGGTACGACCGGCTTCGCGAGCGCCTTGTCACTCTTCCGCCCCCGTTTGCCACCGCTTGACCCCGAATCGTTGCCCCCCGAGCCAGACGAAAGCACTACCGGCAGCGCTACCTTTTCCATCCGGCGACTCTGGGGCACCCTTGCCGTTGGTGTTGGATGGCGCATCGGATGTTGAAGATTTGGCTTTTGCAGCCTCCTTTTCCTTTGCCTCGGCTTTCTCAAGATTCGCTTTCTTCTCCTCCTCGGAGAGAGGCTCGGTGGCGCCGTCGAAGAACCCATCCTTCCGTTTCCCTAACGCGGTATACGTCGAGAAATTTGAAAGAGATGAGGGACAGGAGCTCCTCGAGGAGCTCTGCAGCCACGGTGCAGCATTTCGCCGCCGTCGTATTGATGCCGGGAGGGAGCGTACGCTCAGGCTTTGTAATGATGTCGAGCAAATGGGGGTTCTCGGCGCGGATAACCGAACGATGCTCTGTCGGAGCAGCATTGTGAATTAGTGAACGGCAGGATTTCGAGGCGATTTGATGTCAAGATTTGCGAATTTCTGGTCCGCGATCTGAACTCGGCGTACTGGACGCCGGGGTAAAAGGAGAGTCTATGGGTGCGGTCAACGTCGCCAAAACATTCAACTGAGAAAATAATATACAAATTAAGCCGCGCAAACGGAGAAAGCCTAGGGGTGGTGGTGGGGGGGTTCAATGGTAGGTCCGAAAACGCCAGGAAAGGCCGGGATCTCCGGCGATGATGTCTTAATAATGCGATGGAGTTAACGAGGAGCACGGTTTTGGGAATCTGCTGGCAAGGCTTGGCGCTCGCGCGTCATTGCAGGGCCTGCCTGGATTCAACCAGCCGCAATTGGGCTGAGCTTGGCTAGGTATTTGAGGAGAGCTTTAAGCCACAAGAGGCTGAGGCACGGCTTCCCCACGGACCGCCCCGCCCCCGCACTCGGCTTACCTGGATGTTCCAGACCCACGGAGAATTGGGGGCTTCAGTGAGAGTTGCATGTGTCTTCACCTCCAGGCTGCATCATTTGGCCTGCATCCGGCATTTTTGCGTTAGGCACGTTGCTCACACATAAAAGTTCCCTACGCCACCTAACTCATTCTTAAAACACATCCTCTTCTGCAGCTTCTCGACGGCCAGAACCAGCTCTTCCTCCCCCGCTCAAACACATTTTTGATCCTTCCTCGGTGCATTCGTCTCACTCTTGACGCTTGGCAGCGGCACTGTTAGGTTGGACCGAGCCTTGTCCCAACCATAAGAAGACGATTCGCCCTCTCCTCCTTTCTTTTATTTTCCACACCACGCGGTTATCAACTGGTCTCAGCGCTCTGTAGACTAAACTGTACAATATCTTTTCATCATGTCTACCAAGTCCAAAGACGAAGTCACCTCAAACCTCGCCAAGCTGTCCCTCAAAACTACCCAGCTTGAGACAACAACCACCCAGCCACGGACCAAGACTCAAAGCAAAAGCGGTCCCGTCGCCGATAGCTGGGAAGACGAAGCCGACGAGGACGACGAGACGGGCCCCGACACAGCGGAGGCCACACCCGTGGCAGCCCTTGGCCATGCGGGCACATCCGCGCCACCACCAACACCCATGTCCCCCCTCGGCAGCGCCAATAAGCGGCCCTTCTCGCCATCCGCCCTCCCGGGGCCCGGGTTCAGCATCCCGCCCTTTGAAGGCACGGGCGACTACCCGGGGTCGTCACCATTGTCATCCTCCTCGGGTGGGCCCTCTAAGCGGCCCGAGAAGACGGACGCGGTGGCCCGCCGCATGATTGCCAGTGCGCTGGGCATGAGGGCGCCTAAGCCGACTGAGGAGCAGCGGGCGTATGACCGGGCGGTTCGTGAGAAGGAGAAGAAGCGGAGGGAGGAGGAGAAGGAGCAGGAGAGGTTGAAGGAGGAGGCGGCTGCCAAGGCCAGGCAGGCGATTTGGGATGACTGATGGTCTGGGGTGTTTTTTGGGTTAATCATATATTGCATGGCTAGGGATGGCGGATCTGGTCTAATTTTGGACATCTTTTGCGGTTTGGTTACAGGGTCGGACTTGGATAGGCCGTTTTTGTTTTATCATGGCTACATATCAACCGTTAAGCCTGTCGTTGTTGGTCTCGGGAGGTTTTATCCAAAGAATCATGCTTCACAGCCTTTTTCTGAACCCTTTTCGTTGTTGTCGGCTGTAAGTGTTCAAGATTAGTCTTAAAGATTAGTTAGGCTTGCAGTGTAGATCTCAACTCCTATGACTAGCCGAGCTATTGCTTAGTGATACGCCAGCAGTTTTGCTCACACATCTTGATTGGTGTTGAATGAAACACCAAAAAAAGATAAGTAATAAAATTGTCGGACAACTTGCACCGAGGCGCAAGACAGAAAGCAAAAGCTTGCTGCTACCCCTTGTAATGGAGGTAGTCGACTACGAAACCCTTGAGGGTTTGCTTCGGATGGTTCGTCCGTAGAAGGGGGCGGGCCCTTTTCCTTTTCTACCTACCCCGGGGCGACTCAAACTGGCAACCACTCAAAAGAGATCCCGGGGGTTTTAACCCGGGGCCTTGACCATCCTCTCTGACGACTCGGTCTTTGGGTGATGTTGGGCAATGCAGAACTTCTGTGCCAGTGACCGACTGGCTGCCTCGGTGCAATTTCGCACTCTGGCCGTTTTCAGGGTAAATGCTACCACCGCATTTTCGCGGCATCACGGAGAATCGAATCTGGTGATGGCGTCAGCTGTCAGCCGCAGGTTCTTGACAGACTGACTTACCCACTCTCTCGCAATCCATCAATGTGCCGTATCGTTACTCATCCACTCTGCCCTCCTAGCCAGACAACCCCTCACCCAGATGCCTCTTCGGCCCTCACATAAGGCAGATTCCGCCCCTTCCACGTCAAAACCAACTCCTTCTCCCCGCCACCACCACCAGCGTACCTCGTCCCAACACCAAACCCCTCCAGCCCTTCTTCCTCGGCCCTCCGATTCCACAAAAACTGCTCGACCACCCCCTCCCTCGAACACGCCACAAACCCCATCGGCCACCTACTCCGAGCGAGCGCCTCCCTTGTCCCCTTGGTAGCATGCCTTTGCGTAACCAACAACCCCACGACCCCCGCACCGCGCCACCCCACAGGGGCATTCATAAACGCGCCCTCCAACTCCCTCACCAGCCGCGGCCCGGCCTTTTGCACGGCCTTGCACTGGCCCAGCACGCGAAGCGAGATGGGGCCGTGGCCGGGCAGGGGGAGGGGTAGGGTCCACACGCCGAGCAGGTCGATGCCGCCGTCGGAGGCGCCGCCCACGCGCCGCAGCGCCAGCCCGTAACGGGAGAGCGTGTCGAGCACCGTGTACTCGAAGTGCGTGCCGACGTAGACGGTGGAGTGCGGGTCGAGGCCGGTGCGCGTGGCATAGGCGAGAAAGGTGGGGAGGGAGTCGTGGTGGGGGGAGGGGGGCGGAGGGGTAGGTTTAAGGGTGGTGGTGGGTTTTGAGGGTGGAGGAGAGTGGTGGAGGTGGTTGTTGTGGCATTATTTAGTGGTGGTGGTGGGTGTTGGTCTTGTGGTAGTTGTTCATGATGCTGGTGCGATTCGGGGGCGGATTCGGGATTTGGGCGGCCAGCGCCAGCGCCGGAACCACCCTGGCCCTTCTCCTCCGAGGGAATGTTGCCCACGCGCTGCAGAGCGGCGCACCGACTGGGCCACATCGTCCAAGGTCAGAGAACCGGAGAGTATGCTCGAGCCGACGTCTGGCGTTTCCACGTTACGTTGGATGGGCGGGAGACGTTGTCACTGATGTGGAGGTGCTCCGCGATATGTCGTTTGATTGTCTGACTGAGTCTTTAGGATATTGACTGATTGGGTTATCCACATGGGCATGGACATGTGGACAAGTTTGGCT